AGGTTAAAGGGCCCAAAGAGCTGTAAATAAAAATAAACTGGCATTTATCTACACTCTACAGAGTACAAGGTGTCCCACATCATGTTAGACCGTTTATTGTTCTATAATTGTGATTTTCGTGACTGATCAGAAAATTTAAAAAGAACGAAACATTTAAAGAAACGTATAAGACTAATATAAAAATTTGTATGCAGAAAATACTAGGCTTTTCCAGAAATTTGTGCATATTTTGATATTATAGCTTGGAGTTAATCTACTATGGTATGGGACGCTCTGTAATCTGTATCTCTAAGTAAAAAAAATATTTAATGGAAATAAATAGTGCAGACAAGTATCAAGTAAAGGAAGGAAGGTACATTGTATGCATGAAGATGTATTAACAAGCCCCCCCCCCCCTACTCTCTAGAGATTAAGCACAGTTTAACTACTCATAAGGTTGTAAACAACTAAAAAACTGGTATTTATCTGTTTTTAAACGACTATCTTCAACCAAAAAAAATTATAAAAATGAATTAAGTGCACAGAAGTTTAAAAAGAAATAAAGATAAGTTTTTACTCACATTTCTTCCACATCTCTAAGCTCCGGAATAGTTCTACTCAAGAGCCGGAGGTCTTCAAATATACCAAAACCTGAATACGGATTCAATGTTTCTTGTAAAGTAAGCCCTACAAAACTGTGAAACATGAAGACGATATTTTATAGCAAACTTATTTATCTTTGATGTTATTTTTAAGCAAATAGTTTATCAACTTCTTAGTGAAATGGTCCACCATATCGTATTCAGGAATTGAGAGATGGATTTAAAAAGATTGAAAAAAAAATAAAATGGAAAAAAAATCTTGGTAAAAATGCGAATTCTAAGTTGGGAGGAGAACAATGTCTTGGTTGGAAGGGAAGATTGGGTCTGGATTGGAAATTGAAAGAAAGTTTTTTTATGTTTAGCGGAAACTAAATAAAGGAATTGGAAAAAAACTTACTCTGAGTTGGGCAGAAAACTATTTTCTGGGTTGGGTGGTAAACCGTATTCTGGGTTGGGTGGTAAACCGTATTCTGGGTTGGTCATAAATCCATATTCTGGGTTGGTAAACCATGTTCTGGGTTGGTCATAAATCCTAATTCTGGGTTGGTCATAAATCCATATTCATGGTTGGTAAAACATATTCTGGGTTGGTCATAAATTCATATTCTGGGTTGGTCATAAATCCATATTCTGGGTTGGTCATAAATCCATGTTCTGGGTTGGTCATAAATCCATATTCAGGGTTGGTAAACCATATTATGGGTTGGTAAACCATATTCTGGGTTGGTAAACCATGTTCTGGGTTGGTCATAAATCGATATTCTGGGTTGGTCATAAATCCATATTCACGATTGGTAAACCATATTCTGGGTTGGTCATAAATTCATATTCTGGGTTGGTAAATCATATTTTGGGAAGGTTATAAATCCATATTCTGGGTTGGTCATAAATCCATAATCTGGGTTTGTAAACCATATTCTGGGTTGGTCATAAATCCATATTCTAGGTTGGTCAAAAATCCATATTCTGGGTTTGTAAACCATATTCTGGGTTGGTTATAAATCCATATTTTGGGTTTGTAAACCATATTCTGGATTAGTCATAAATCCTTATTCTGGGTTGGTAAACCATATCATGGGTTGGTCGGAAAACCATATTCTGGGTTGGTCGGAAAACCATATTCTGGGTTGGTCGGAAATCCATATTCTGGGTTGGTCATAAATCCATATTCTGGGTTGGTAAACCATATTCTTGGTTCGCCGGAAAACAATGTTCTGGGTTGGAAAGGTTGGAAAAAGTACTATTCTGGTTTGGGGGGAAAATGCGACCATTCTGGATTGAAAGCGAAGCAAAATTCTAAATTGGGTTAGAAACTAATTTTTGAATGGAAATGCTGCATAAGTTTGCTTACCTATTATCTTAATATCCGGGTTGGCAAAGATGTCAAGAAGACGACCCCAAAGCTGAGGGTCAAGTTGAAACTCCGACAGGGCTTTCATGTCAAGCAGATAGGCTGCAGCAAAGATTAAACATATTAAACTCACAAAAGGGGAGGTCATATTAAGGAAAGCTATGAAATTTTAATCAATTTAACCCAATTTTCAGAAAAAAAATTTCTGCTAATATGACTTCTAAAAATAGACAGAAATGTCATTAGTAATTTCGTTGCAAAGCAAATTTATCATTTATTTTGTTTAACCTGATTCTGAAGTTGCCAACTGAAGAAGAGAAAGGTTTTTAACAAGAACATTGGCAGAAAATTCTCCATCCAATCCAATAGATTCAGCCTGAAGAAAATAATAAAACCATTCGTGTGACTAGTCTCAACAATGATATTTTCAATTCCTCGGGTAAATCTGCATCAAGTATATAAAATACTAGGTGAAGTGCCCGGCGTTGCCCGTGAAATTTAAAAAAATTGAATTTAGAAAAAATAAAAAATTCCATTTTTAAATAAAATTTTTTTTTTTTTTGTGATTCACCCCAGTCAAAAAATGTCAGCCAATTTTGTCCAGCCGTTTGGGCAACTATAGCTAACTTATTTATATAATATACTATATAATATACTTAATATAAGGATAAAATGGAGGAAAGATAAAAATGGAGGAGCAGAGCATTGAGCACTTTGTATTTAAAGCTCCCTGAAATCCAGGGATCAAACTATTACCTGACTTAGGATGTCCAGACAGTCCCTGAGGATCTCTTCTGAGTCGACGATCTTGATCCTATCCCTAGAGATCATAAATGCAGTTAAGCAGAAAAATATTCTCATCATAGATACCGGCTATTTTGTAGCGCAACTTCACAAATATTAATTATTCAGCAGCATAGCAAGGCAAAGCTCTGCCTCCCTAACACAATTGATGATCCTAAAACCTGCCCTACAATATCTTGAACTAAACCTGCAACGTGTACTGTACAGAGTACACAATAAACTGTACTGTACAGAGTACACAATAAACTGATTATTTAAAGTTAAAACCTTTAGGATTGTTCCTTTATCAACACTTTAATAACCTTTAATAATATTTCTCCGAACAATTTATAAAAATTGAACTGCTAGACTAAAATTCAAATGCTTGAAAAAAAGATGGGCTTTTTCAGAAAATACTAACTTTATTTTTATCTAACCTGGAGAAGGGTAGTTTAAAATATTGAGCTTTTTCTTCACACATTTTTAATTCATCTGAATTGTCAGGAATCTCTTCAGGTTCTGGTTCAGACCTGTAAAAATAGGAAATATGTATAATCCAAATAAATCATTACCAAAACTACTACACTCACCAGAAAATAATATACTTAATTAGTTTAAACGTATAAATTATTGTAGAAAAAATACTCCAAAAACTGCGTTATCTTTAATTTGTTTGATGCCAATTTAGAAAAAATCAAGCCAATCTTGTAGTCACAATTCTAAAATAAGTTCTGATCAAGTAGTGTCGAGGCCTCTCTTGACCGTAACTGTAGGCACTAGCTAGTAAATAAGTTAGCAGTTGCAACTTATGATTGTTATTAATCTACCTGGATACGACAAGTTCCCCTGTATCCCAGTCCACCTCCTCCTCTTGGGATTGTGTGATGAACAAGTATTCTATCTCTGGAGTTCGGAATCCTAGTTTCAGAGACCAGTACTTAGTTTCGTCCTAGAAAATCATCATTTATTAGCAATAAACCCGATGAAAAGGTGTGGACTAAACTTCTGACTACCTATTCGTAATAGTTAAGAAGTAATCCTGAAATGTAACCTAAAATTGAGCCCCCCACACTGCGTATAGTAAATATATGTATTTCATTCTTCTCTGCTTGCTCAGATTAAAAAATAACTCAAGTTAAGAAAAATTTGTCAAATGATAATCAACTCGTTTTGCTTTTTTATATCTAAAACAAGAGAAGCATCCTTGTCAACCAAAAGAAAAGTTACAAAAATTATAACAAGAAGAAACTATAAAGATTTGATGAAAGAAACGCAGGAATACATGTTGTAACCACCTGATCATATTTACTGAGCTGGTTGAGGAAGAGAGAATGAAGATGAGGATGCGGATTCAGTTTCATCTCCATCAGTTCTCTCCAGGATACAATGGAATCCGCGTCTTTGCTCCGAACCTCTCTATCATATATAACCTTCAGTTTATCAACTAGCATAAATATTCTCAAATATGTCGCACAAAAGGGCAATTGAATACCTCACAATTTATAGAATAGTATGTCAGATTCACAACGGTACTCTTAAACTCTTTATATGACTAACATCGACTTTATCATCCTTTTTCTGCCTCGAAACCAAAATTAAAAATAATTACTTTTCAGCTAGAAAATCAAGAATATATCTCATTCATCATTAATCAGACAAAGATTAAAATGTCACTATTGTGAATCAACTCTATAAATGGAGGGCTACTTGATTCTATTTGATATATCCCTTTAATACCATAAAAGTAAAATATATATCAGGTCTTTTTTCTTCAGATGTATTGTGAGTCGTTTTTCAATTCTTTGTGATGAATGTACTGATGTCATTGATAAACACCTACCCGGTCCAGTAGATGATGTCTAGAGTGAGCATCTGGTTGAAGAAGTTCGGCAGATCCTTTGTATCAATCTTAAACTTAGCGCTGTATCTCCTAATAGTAAAAAAACTTCTATTAATAGTTTGCCAGTAGACATTAAAAATGCCACCTCATTGATTAGTTTTAAGAATATGTATGACAAACATATTTCTTCAATGTGATAGGTGTCAGGGGCGCCGAGATCTCTGATGAAGGTGTCAGGGGCGCCGAGATCCCTGGTGAAGGTGTCAGGGGCGCCGAGATCCCTGGTGAAGGTGTCAGGGGCGCCGAGATCACTGGTGAAGGTGTCAGGGGCGCCGAGATCACTAGTGATGGTGTCAGGGGGCCCGGATCACTGGTTTAACTTAATGCACAATCAGTAGAAACAAAAAAGATATATTGACTCGGTGAAAATGTTAAAAAAGTGATCTCCCAGTAATCCAGTAATTAACAAACAACAATAAAGCTCTGACTAGTGACAACTGTTTGAATGTGGGTCCGCAATTAAAGATTAAATTATTCAAATTTTTCTATTCATTCCTTTTTAACCTATGATAATTACTCAGTTATTTGCACTTTTTTAACATTTCTGAGTCGTTAGATTTTTATTTTTAGAATTTTTATTCTTCATGTGAATATTCAGTATTCAGAGTAAAAGAAATTAAATAGAAAAAATATGAGTATGTTTTGTATCCACCCCTAATTCCATGTAAGGCGCCTAACAAAAATCAATTACATTTGATTCAGCCCTTGACTGTTTGATGGTTTTAAAACCTGGACGGTGCGGTGGACAGGCAAAACGATTAAATAATTATAAAGATGATTTTATAAATCTACCTGATAAGCTTACTCAAAGTTTTCCCTGTTAGATTCTTTATTCCACGCTCTGAGTTCGGTATCTGGCTCAACTTTCACAAAATAAAAGATATTATCAAAGTAACTGTGATTTCAGAGCTGGGAACTTTAGAATGGTGGAAATAGAGATCAATGCTTGATCCTCTTTTTGTTCTTAATCTCGAGACTAACCTAATCTTGTACTTTTATCCGGGAAATTTGAAATTTTACACGCCATTTAAAATTAATATACAGAAACGGGAGGGACTCTCTTATTTTGAAAAACCGATTTTTGATTTTTCTGTGCTTTATATCCAAAAAAGAGTGGATTAAGCAAGAAATTAAAAGTGTCCACATTGGATATTCAGATTAAGCAGTCTGGATTAAAGGTTATCCATTTTAAAATTCCCAGCTCAGGTAACTTTCCTTTTATATAGTGACATGTCCGATTCACAATGGTATCCATTCAAGTTTTCTTAGAAATATCTAAAATTAAACATTTACCAAGCTAGGGAACGTCGATACCTTCCGTTTTATTGATCATAAAAAGGTTTAAATAGTTTTGTTGTGAATTGGACATACCCTATTTTAAATTTTTTAAATGAAATGTCATTTGAAACAAAACGACAGTCCTCTTCAGCGAGGCTGCTGATTGCTTGCTCAATAATACATATATATTAAAAAAAGAGGAAAAGTGAATTAAGATATTTTTTATTGAAATTATGAAGATTTACACCAATGGCCGGGATTTGAGAAGAAAATGAGAGGATATATTAGTTTTCTTCAATATGAACATTATGTTTGTTCGTCTGCTGGATGTTTTGTATCCAATAAACATCAACAAAAGAACTGATCGGAACAGAATGTATAGTAGAAACCCAATGGTGGGTGAATATTTAATTTTCGCCCCCCCCCTCCCCCCACCAAAAAAAATTATCTTTAAATCTGTTAAAATCAACCATGCAATTAAAAAAATCTGCGAATACTTGATTTATTATTGTTTAATATTTACAAAAGGAAAATGTTACTAAAAAACTAACGAAAAGTACAAAGAGAGCGTAAATGGCCCTGATATAGGTAAATTACCTCTCTAATTGCCTGGACAGCTGTTCTTCTATTAATTAGAGAATTCAGGAATAGCATGATGACCAGGGAGAGGGCGTAAATGACCCTGATATAGGTAAATTACCTCTCTATTTGCCTGGACAGCTGTTCTTCTATTAACTAGAGAATCCAGGAATAGCATGATGACCAGGGAAAGGGCGTAAATGACCCTGATATNGACCAGGGAAAGGGCGTAAATGACCCTGATATTGGTAAATTACCTCTCTATTTGCCTGGACAGCTGTTCTTCTATTAACTAGAGAATCCAGGAATAGCATGATGACCAGGGAAAGGGCGTAAATGACCCTGATATTGGTAAATTACCTCTCTATTTTCCTGGACAGTGGACAGCTATTCTTATATTAACTAGAGAATCCATGAATAGCATGATGACCAGAGAGAGAGCGTAAATGACCCTGATATAGGTAAGTTACCTCTCTATTTGCCTGGACAGTTGTTCTTCTATTAACTAGAGAATCCAGGAATAGCATGATGACCAGGGAGAGGGCGTAAATGACCCTGATATAGGTAAATTACCTCTCTATTTACCTGGACAGCTGTTCTTCTATTAATTAGAGAATCCAGGAATAGCATGATGACCAGGGAGAGGGCGTAAATGACACTGATATAGGTAAATTACCTCTCTAATTGCCTGGACAGCTGTTCTTCTATTAATTAAAGAATCCAGGAATAACATGATGGCCAGGGCCGAGGACTGAGATATCTCTAGAAACCGTTCTAGAACCTCAAGATGTCCCTGGGCCAGGAGAGGTATACAGAACATTCTACGCAAATTAACTCTCAACTAACAATTGGATATATTATTTATCGTCAATCGTCATCGACCCTTACCAAAAAAAAAAATGTGGAATTTTAATCATTTTTTTTTTAGGATAAAAGCTTTAACGGAACGATTATTATAATTTCAAGGTGACCCTTCATTTTCTAGCATAAAGTGTTTAATTCCGACAATTTCCTCCACTGTTACTGAAGCAAAGATTTTCAAGTAAATTTAACAGATAAACTAATATTGAAAATAATCCACTTTTAAAGTTGAAAGCATGGATGTCTCATTCATTTTTGATCATAAAAGTTGTTAAGGGTACCTTCATTGTAAATCGAACATGTAATCCATAAATGAAAAGGGTCAACTGAAATTATGCCTACAGTCCCTTTAATACAACTTCTTACACTATTTATCAACTACCAGTATTACCATATTTAAACAATTTGACTAAAGAAGGATGAAAGTTAGTTTCCCTGATGTCTGAATCTAAGATTTTCAGAGATATTGCTGTCTTACAGGCTCTTAAATATTCATGGTCAGCACTGAAGTATTGAAGCATAGTTCCATACCTGGAAGCCTAAAGAAAACTAGTTATTTTAAGAAGAATTTTTAATGCGTTTATAGAAATGACAGACAGATAAAATTGTTCATTGATGCGGTAATTTTTGATTCATTTGAAATAATTTTTATCAATCTTTTTATGTGTGTTGAATTTTATTTCTTAAAGAGTTAAGTTGTGTGTTTGTGCGAGTGTGAGCAAATAAACATACAGCAAAGG